AGATCATGCTTCCAGTTCTTGTTGATAAATATCAGCATTTATTTCTGATATTATGGCAGAGGAATAACAGAAAGTAAGGACTACTCAACTACCATGCTTTTAGTTCTGGCAGTAGTTCCTTTATGACCCACATTTTTAAAAGGTATTCTTAACAGTGTGTTTGTCTGTGTGTATCTCTAAGGAAAAAGTGTCAGTGAAAGGCTAAAGGAAGATAAGCTAGGAGACTGTTTCCATGTCAGCATTTTCGAGTCCATTTTCTCTTAATGGATGCTGGAAGCACACAGAGAGCCAGTGAAAGAACTCTGGGATCTCAGCAATGGGCTTTTATATATTCCAAGTGTAAATTGTTCTATTTATTGTTTTAATATGTGTAGCATCTACACAGATAATGATCTTTCCTAAAGATGGGGGATCCCAGTAGTTACCAAACATGCTTTTAAGAGTTCTTCAGTTGATTTATTTCCTTCAATTAGAAAACAAAATTAAACACAACTCTCAGTGTCCAAAAGAAGTGCCTGGAGGCCACTGTATATAATTATTTTCATTTAGCCCCTGCAACTTCTTGACAGACTTAGCATTTTTAGATCACAGCACTGGGACACTGGATGCATTTTTCCAACCTTTCTGATGAGGAGGGAAAAGGCAGCAAAGGTAGTTAATGAATCTGGATAAACTTGAGCAGAGTGAATGAAGAAAAACAAGGCCACCAAAAGTTATGCTGAAAAGCATCAGGCTCTTCTCTCCATCAAGTGTCACGGTGAGAAGCCATTACGCTGGAGTATTCTGTGGAGTCCTTGGTGCCCTCCAAGCTTGGTTGTTGGCTTGTAAACATTTCATCACCCAACTAGGTAACATCTTCAATGCCAGTTAGTTTGTTCCTTTCCCTTCCTGCTTCCTTTTTCTTATTTGCCATGTCTTTTAGATTGTTTAGCTATTTACCTACTTGTTTGTTAGCAGCTGCTAGAAACTTGTGGCTGAACAACAAAGGCAAATTCTTCAAATAATTAATTAAAGAAACCAGCAAAAAGAGCTATCTAAACAAGCAGCTTGAAAAGGAAGTCCAGCTAATAATATAGAGCTTATTATCTTAAAAGTCTCTCTACCTGATCCAAGTAATGAAAAGTTTTCATGCAATGCTGTAAGCTTCCTCCTATTATGTTCCAAGCAAACACTTAAATATATAAAGTCATATAAAAAGAAATAACACATCACCCTATCTCCTATCATGAATGAAAGATGCATAAAATTAGGATTTCCTATATGCATGACTAATCAGGAAAATCCAATCAGATCTGACCTGATTGGTGGCCTTTCCTTCCACTTATCGGAGGTTTTTTTTTCTCCTGACATTTCTTCTAAAGAAAACAAAAGTAACATGCAAAATCATCAATCTTATGTGAAGCTTTCCCCATTTATTGTAACAGGTTATGCATATGATAACTTCATGTCATACATTCTCTGCTCTCAATCTACATCAGTGAACAAAAGATAAATGTAAACCAAAACAGAAAGTCGGAGGATTTTGGTAGGAAACTTCAAAAACAGAAGTGCCAGTAGAAAATATAATCCTTTTCGGTTGAGTGCGTGTGTTTCAAAAGGACAAGGAAAAGAAGCCATCTTCCCATTCAAGTTCCTCTAGTTCCAGTTTCAAACATAGTGCTTTCTGTGCAGTAAATCCAGCAAATTTATTTCCATACAATCAATGTTGAAATGAGCAAGCTGTGTTCACATGCTTGCTGAACTGTCTACCTTGATTTTTTTTTCTAGTCATTAGTGTTCAGGAAAGGATTTTAGGAACTGCATAATACATTGTCTCAGCATCATGAAAGGAGACTAGTGGAATTTCTCTGCATATAAGGCCAAGATTAAACTTAGCTCTATTGCCAATAAGCAGCACTGATTATCAGTCTCTCAAAATAAGAGAAGGCATAACATGACCTGAATTTGGAGATATTATATTCCTATCAATAGAATAATTTAATCCACTGAAATATGAAATACAATTAGAAATAAACACTGCACTGAGGCTCTTCATATAGGAGTAGATGGATAGGGATTGGCATATGCTGAGAAACTGACCTACAGGCTAAGAGCTGCAAAGTGAATAAACAAAACAACATTACCTCTACGCTATATTCACTTCTCATTTTCCCATATTTCTGCAAATTAATACTCTCCATACTTAGAATATAGCTTCCAGTATTCATGCCCACAAAGAATTTTCACCATGTTTCAGCTCCAGGGAAACTGCAGAAATTCAGCTCTGGGACTGCAAGTTACCTATGTTAACTGCAAAATATCGTACTTGGAAAGTACTTTTGATGCGCAGGTTTAATCTAGATAATTATAGAAATTATTTATTATTTATATATAAATA